TTTATTCACTTTCCAAACAGAAAATATAATATTGAAGTTGAATTTTTAAAGTGTTTTTCTACAAAGTGTCTTCAGGCACAAAAATAAAACTCAAATCATTGTAAGATCAATACATTCATTGCTCCCCTCAGAATCTCAAATGAAAGGTTAAAATTATATTTAATATAAAAACATGGTTACTAGTCAAATGGTTATATTACTCTACGTCCACTTAAAAGTTCTTTTCTTATCGCACTTTAATCAATCTTCCTATATGCGTAAACCGACGTCGCCCACAGTAAATTATTCTAAAAACTCTTCCCTTTCTACGGCTGTGTCTTATTTATGTGAGAAATATTTCTTTTTATCTTAATTTTGATTTTTTTTATCAATACCTGACGCTAACAAGTATTATATTTTGTCATTTAATTACACAAGTCATAAATTAATCAATATCAATAACACCATAATCTCGGTTTCTAAAAATCCGTGTTATATATTATTTTATTATTGGTATACCTTTCATGTTTGTTTAATTCATACAAAAATAATAAATTTGTTGAAGCGGTGTTTTCCTCGACATCCTATTGATTATATAGTTAACAGTTTATTATGAGATGCAGATACTTCAATCAAAACTTTTTGCCTACCAGTACGTCATAAACTCTAACGAACAATATTCCTTTTGCTTGTTCATTAAATTTGCCCATCAAATAAAATTCCAATTAAGATTTAGACGAATGACGAAGACAACGGTGTTGTCATAAATTTATCTCCGTCTTGTGTTTAACTTATTCATAGTAAAATTACTCTGTCTTTTTTTGTTTACTCTTGTTTTCCTTAAATTCTCCCGTGGCAGCTTCGATGACAAAAGCTGTAGAATGCATTTGTACAAAGTTTGTTTTCCGTTGTCAATACGAGTACGGAAAACTTTTTTTTGATTTTGATTAAAAAAAACTTGGATAACAAAGCACAATGTGAATATGGTCGTTATGAGTACAAGGTGAATCTAACGTTCGTGTCATATTGTGATATATTGGAGAACATGTAAAACCTACATTGTAGGTACAAATTGTCAATGAACATTTTTTTTTATTTATTTAAATTGAAAATTATTATTCAAAAGATTTTTCAATAATATTTGTAATCAAAATTCTGTGAATCTTTTATTTCGTTTACAATAACTACTCAAAACTTTCAAACGTATCTTTTGTCGTTGTATTCGAATATAGAATTATAGATATTTTGATGAAACACTGACAATCAGGTGTGTAAACATTAATTCAAATGTATGGTGCGCAAATAGCTATATAGTACCAATAAGTATCAAATGCATCACTTGCGCTTATATCGTTCAATAATTATTTACTGATTGAGTATAAATATTAGAAAACAAAAGTCGGGGAATTATGTATGGGTGTGATGTGCTAATGTGATGTGTATGATAAAGTATGACAAATATAATGAACGGGTTTATAATTTGTCAGTTATAGCTGGTGAAATCGACTTAATTGTTAAATAATAATGAATTAGTTGTACTAAAATATTGTATAAGTCACTTCAATTATTTTTTTTTGCCAATCGTTCAATTTCCTGTGGTACAACTTTACACGTTTCATATGTTTCTATAACTTAAGTTATCGTTCAAATAAATGGTCTCTTACATGACAGTTTCAATTTGTGATCTTTATAAAATAGTCTTGAGAAGGAGAAAGTTAGAATGACTTAAACGATTTTTGCGTGGTAACGAAATAACGAGGGGAAAAAGTCAAAACAGGAAACAATAATATTTATTGTTATGGGTATGGGAAATACTGGTAAAGATAACAGGCGAGTAGGGAAACCAGAAAATTATTGCGGAAGTTATCCTTTTAAAAAAGAGTCAACTTCAGACAGGAAGAAGGGTAAAATAGCGGTCATGACAATTCTTATTGATGTAAAAGCAAAAATATTTTTCGTTAGGAAAAAAATACATATTATACACATTGGTTTTCTTATATTAAATAAGAAAAATATTGTGCTGATTTGTTGTAAAACTAAATAGAATCTAATATAATACAATTCCACTTAAATTGAGAAAAATGTTTGATTGTCAATTTAAGTTTAAATTTGAGCAATCATAGTTATTTTATTAGTATATATTTAAGAAAAAAAAAAGTCTAAAATGGATTTTTCATCAACCATACTTGTTAAATATTTTTACTAACAACAAAGACTGCAATAAATATATACAAATTTCTTGTAATCCAATTGGAATATTAATCCATCATATATTGGTAATAATATTCACTCTGTACGATAAGTACAACAATAATTACAAGTAATACTTGCTTATATAATATCTACAACATTCTTCGCAATTTGCTAATTTTATCGTAAAATAATTGTATGATAACCAATAATCCCTCTAATTACCCAATTATATGCAATTGCAATCAATGGACAAAGCAACTGTAAAGTTGTCATATAACAGATAAAGAGTCAACAAATTAGAACTAAAAAAATGTTTAATTTATGTTTATTTTATAAAAGACAAATTATTTTTAAATTACAAAATTAATATTGCATAATATGTTGTTTTTTACGTATCTGTTTAAAATAATATATATTAATTTTAAGTTTCAAGCAATTGGGTGGAAATTATCTTTTTAACTTTTTAATTACATTTTTTTTAAATCTCTAATTATATTTATTTATAATTCAAAGTTTTTTTCTATTTGAACAATGATTTACATTAATATTTGTCTTATAATTTTATTTTATATTTGTTTATGAAAATTTGAAGGTGCATTCACTCAACTAATTCGTATGAAAATGAGTATAAATCTCTTAAGTAAAATCATATTTGTAAAACCTCTTGATTTTTAATTAAATTATTAAATTATTTACTGTTATGTTGGATAATTGTAAAATTGTTATTCATTAAATGAAGACAGTTGACCATGTTGGAAAAAGAACTAATTCATAATAATAGGCAACTAACAATTATTTTTATCACATTTTATAATCGTTATAAATATGCGAAAATTCTAATCTTATTTATTTTTCCGTTGCCAATGTTTTTCCCCTTCTATACTCTTCAGCAGTTTCAGAATACATTTTTAAAATGCCAGTCCCGAAGTAAAGTTTTGTTCCATGTTCGCGCATACATTTAGCTTATCTCTGAACCAGAGGATGGTCTTTAGGTTCCGCGCATAACCTATAAATCCGTTGGCCGTGATTTATTAGTCTTGATTTCTTATGAAAGTTGGGACCTTCTTTTTGGAACTCTTTTGCGAGCAGTGAATGCTGAGAGAAAAGTTTTCGGATTTAGTGACGACAGCGACTGTGAATTTAAATTGAATGAAATTTTTACCATATAATTCAAAAAAACTAAAAATGAATAACGGAGTGTGAAGAGAGAAGAAAAGTCTGCATTAATAACTGTGATAACGTAACGACGAATCGTATAATAATATGGATAAAGATGATTTCTGCGGCCTTCAAAATGTTTTAGCTAAAAATAATTACAATATTTTAATGTCTAAGGTCCTTTTAACGGTATGATAATTATTTATTGAAAATATATGTCTTAATATTCTAGTTAAATATTCTAAGAAATTTAAATATCAAAACAAGTAGTTATTCGAAACCATGGTGCATCGATTTAATCGGTATTAATTCGTCTGAAAATAAACTTACATTCACGCATGAACACATTACTTTTTAAAATAACAAATTTTTTTTTCTTCATACGTGTTTTGTATTATATTCACGTAAATATTTTATTTTTATTTTCTCGAATTCAATATAAAAACATGGGCATGTTATAATGTGTATAAAATAATAAACATTAAAAAAATGTGTTTCGCAGCATAATATAATATAACCACATTACCGTTGTACCGGAATCTCATAAAACGCTCTAATGCGTCACGATTTCTATGAAATACTACAGTTTAATATTGGGACCAGAGTTAGTTTAATTGCTTAGTTTGGATAAATAATATATAATTTGAAATGACAAATAATAACAACTTTAATATTATTATATTTTAAATCAAATGCACAAGTACTCATTTTTTTTTCTTCAACATCAATGGCAACTCTGTATGTTGTAGGTATGCGGAAACTCTGTAGTGTTTATTATTTGTGTATATATATATATATATATATATATGAAGAACAAAATTTTCCTTTGTGCATCGAAAGCTGCAAAGTATTCTATTAAAATGGAAAAAAAATAACAATAAAATCGGCTAGAAAAAAAAGGCATCCGTGTATTTTTTTCTTCTAGCCGCCCCGACGTTATACTACGACGCTCACTGTATAATATAAGTGCTACAGTGTATCCCATAGACAGTTTGCCACGAGTTAAAGGCCACTTAAGCTTTGTCACATGATCAAAGCTGTCTTTCACAGATGATTTTCTACCATTCCGGGTCATAGTACGCCCTTTGATAATATCCAATACACTGTGCGTGATATGAATGTCAAGCCCGGAAAATGCAGCGAGACCAATCAATTAGATTTTAGAGATAATTAAGTTTTTCGATGTTTTTCTTCATCACTCCACCGCCTAGTCCTCCAGCTCCGTTTTAGAGAAAGTTGTTTGCTCTTTGGATATTATATATTATTTATTTTTATTGCGCACGATTCGAATACAGAAAGAAGATACTGGAGGTGAGCCATATATATATATTTATATATTACGTTTATAACAGTATACCTAATGCCCATATACTAGGTAATAATATTCCGAATTCGTAACTTCAAAGTATAAAATATATTTTATCGAAAATATTAGATTTATAAGACCAATCAGTTTTTATCAAGACAAACTCTATTCGACGTTATATGAAATTTCCCGGTAACATTTTTATAATATAACTTACAATAGGCGCACACGATCGTTCATTTAATATTATTGTACTCACCTGCTGCTGTATCTTTATATTGGTAATAATATATGTTTATGAACAACTTTTCCTCTATAATACAGCTCGTTATATAATGTTACGGTTTGCTTGTATATTTTTCAGATGGGGAAACATTTTCACAGAACTTCCATATTAATAAAAGCGTTCAACCATAAATTTCGCCTCGACCTGGAGCTCAACACGTAAGTACACCATAATATTCCTAAATGCTGTTCATTTTAGAATTGCACGTTCATCGATAAATAATTCAACTCGACGACTTGATATCAATGATTAATTTTTATACACTGTACATAAATAAACGATTAAAGAACACTCAATTCAAATATAATATTATACACACAAAGTACGTGATATCACGATATTATAGCTTTGTGTAAATAGCCGGAATTTTCATTTAATCACTATTAATAAACCCTCCAAAACACGGTGTATGTACATAATAATATTATAAATCACATTTTTTTCTTTCTGTATCGCAAACAATACTGCTATATAATACTTAAATAAGAGTTCAATATTGATTATTAATTACAAATTCTTTTTATCCTTAATTACATTTCGAAATATATAAATCTTTGCAAATATGAAGCAGAGGAAACAAGATTTTTAATCTACATCTTTTGGATTATTAAATGAATTATTTATTAAACTTAATATTAAGGTAATACAATTATTTTAGGTAGTTCTTAATGCTATTAAACTAAACATTGTCATTATTAAAATATCATACCAAACTGTACGTTATCAAAGACTGAGCTCAGAAGGATAGATGCTTAATTATACTGATTAACTATTCGCAAATTTATTTAATTTTAAACAGAAATTATAAAACAATAAAATCAAAAACTATAACATTTAAAATATTTGAACTAAATTATGTTCATCTGGTACATGGTGGAACAATAATATTAATACTATGTACGGAATAATACATATGACACGTTTCAAAAATTATTTAAGTATGCTAATTTGTATTATAGACTTTTAAATAGAAATCTAAAATATAACTTTCAAAGTAAATAATTTTTATGAAAATCCTTATTAAACAATATATAAATAATAATATTATGTGACATGTATTATATAGTATCCTGATTGAAATTAGTTTTTTATAAAATAACAGTATTTTTCGAGAAAACTGTAACATCTAAAAAACAAACGTAATTATATATATGCCTATGTATATAAACAGAAAACAATTTTACGAGAGCAAAATCAATATAAACAAATTTCCGCATGGCATAAGAAAATTATGTAATTTACAAAAACTGAAAATTATGTAGTATTTTTATTCTTCTTTTTAAATTATACGGTCATTAAAATACAATTCTTTATATAAGCGGGTTTTTTATTTTTTATCGCAAATAGGTCAGAAGGAATAGGTTAAACAATATATTTTATACTCAAGTCGTTGGCACAATAATTATTACGATTATTATAATCGTGCTGTACTAACTCGTATTTCATACTTACATCATATTTTTTAAAATAATTAACATTAAGAAAAAAAAACCGGGAAGTCTGCACTGCTGCATAGTAAGTTTCGAGTGTACCTCATTGTTGAGTAGGTATAGGTCACTGGGTAATGGATGTGTTGAATATGATTTCAACTATTACATACGGATTACGATTCTGCGAGTAGACGGTGTGTCAGTCACGATTTGTCTAAGGATATTTTCTAATTTATTTAATTCACATATAATACCAAATTTATTTTTCATCCAATATAAAACGATATTTTAAACTAATTTTTGCCAAAAACATCTCATCTAATATAATAAAATTATTATTATCATAATATTATAATATCATGTACGTATTGTTTTTAATATTAACTTATAAGTCACTAGGTATCGACGCACAGCAGAAAGGTATGAATACGTATCATGGTATATGTTATCATAATTCATAATAGGCGCATGGTATAAAATAATATACTGCTTTGAAATAATTAGTCGAAATGTTTTGAAAATACGAATCGTATGAATAAAACAATAAAAAATTATATACGTAATTGTGACAGACAACACATTGATCGCTCTATACTTAAAACCTAAAATAAAATCATAAACATTTATATCTTTCGCAATAACATCATTGATAGTGCAATAAAAATTGAATTGAAAATGTCAATCGTGGTTAGACTAGCTATAGAACGCTACAAATGTACTGAATCATCACTTCCAATTTAACCGGTTAAGTAAATACGTCTTATTTCTCATCGTCTGATATAAATGTGCACGAAATATTGTCATCAGGTGAGATACAAATATCGTATTCGTCCATTGGGTACAAATTTGCATCATATTATACATATTCCGGACAGATTTCATATTATGTACAGTAACTTAATATACGTGATCGTGTTTGGAAATTATTATACTATGTAATATACGGAATTGAGCGTCTCCGAAATCTGAATGTTACACGCCACCGAGATATACAATATTGGCAGTATCGAAATATGCAATGCATAATTTAGTAATCGAGCTTATCGAACACTGTCAGTATAGCAGAGGTATAATAAAATGATATTTGTTTTATTTTAAATTACATTTTTTTGTTTCAAAAGAGGGGCAAGAGAACCACTGCTCTGCTATACAACAGGTCTCCATGAATATCTCCCCCAACAACGATTCTATAACATGACAAGAGACGCCTTAATATTTTGATTTAATTGCTATGTAATAATTGTAAAGTATAAAAATGACTACATGTCTAAATATTTATAAACCCCAAATTAGTTTTTAAATGGGTTTTATGGTATATTTATAAAATCAATAATGGACTTTATTCACATTACTGGGTATAGAATATTATTATACCATAAATTAATTATTTAGACTTTATTCGTTCATATCAGTATATTGAAACGTTTGGGTAGGTAAGCGTTGAAATTCAAATAAATCAGAAAATCCGTTAAAAATGATATACTTTGTTAAACGAGTAGTTCTTCTGTGCTTAACAGTCTAAGATAATTTAAATCTCCTTATAATTGTTCACTGATAAGGTGTATTTTGGAGAACGACTCTATTATTTTGAGCCCATAGTCCATTTAAGACCACTATGTATATTATTAAATTTGTAACCATACAATTATATATTTCTCTCTAATAAATGTAACTATTTGAAATCAATTAGGCTTATAAACTTAAACGCAAAAAAAAGTGATCAAGTTGGTAACCGTTTTGCTGCACAGTTGTAAGTATCGAGTGTTCCGCGTAGTCGAGTAGGTCACTGTAGTGAATTTGGTAAATTCGAAATCATAAATCGTTGCAATATAAAAAGTGAATTACTAAGTATGTTTGATTATATATTTAAGCTTTATAATGTACTAATATTATAGTAATTTATTTTAATATATATTAATATTAGAAGTACGGTGGGTTGAATTAATTCTTCTTTTTAAATATCCATGTTTGTAGACAGTTAAATAAATTTCAAATATCTGTTAAATACTTATATGTACTATGTTTTATGAAACAAGTTTAATTATATTATTATTATTATTTTTTTTATAGATTGTAAAAATAGATTTTTTAGATTTTTTGTTTTCAGTAAGATATACCTAAGAGAAATCTTGTATTAAATGTTCAAGCCTCATCTATTCAATTTGAACATTTTATAGTTTTTGAACTCTTAAATTTCAAAACGAACATAAAAGAATTTCGTCTAAGTATTTTTAACAATTTTAAATTACTATAAAAAAGTGGCATCTAAAATTACATTTTCTAGGTGTTTAACCTAGTCAAAAATTGTTTATCAATACTTCCAAAAAAAATTTCAAATTTCATATGCCTATAATATTATACAGCTCAACATGTTGTGTAAATATTTTGAAAATTTCACTGAGTATAAAAAATAGTAGTTCAACTAACAGTAGAAAAAAATTAACTGTGGATGTTAATATTGTAGTTACAACAAAAAATAAAATCGATATTTTTAAAAACTAATGCTGTAATAATAATAACTCCTGTTTTTCAATAATTTTTTTAATTTTTTTTCCTGATTATTTTTAAGAGCACTAAGAATGTTTCGTTTGACAATTTTACCATTTAACAGGGGTTATTTTTTACTTCCTGAAAGAACCAACTAGATCTTATTTCTTACCGAAAAATAAACAGCCCTCAAAGTCGAAGATCGATGTATTTTTTTTACTGAACAACGTGTACGCAGATAAAAAAACACACACACACATTATTGTAAGATCAATACATTCATCGCCCCGCTTGGAATCTAAAAATGGTATTTTTCATTTTAATAGTTTTTTCCTCGGTTTTTTTCCCCTATTCATTTTTTTCGTATTAATAATAACAATAGATGGTGCGCACGCCTGGTTGTTTAACAACTCAAGAAACACGTTGATCATTCAGTACTGTGGCTTGGGACAATAGCTTTACCATGTACCTACTATTTCTTGAAAGCTGCTGCAGTTACGCTAAGGGAAATGAGAAAAAAATATATTTCTGCTATTAAACGAGAGTGTAACAGTGCAAATGAGAACGCCAGGTCTGTACTGAATTAAAAACGCTATGTGGTTGAAAATGATTGAGCCGTCGGTCGTGTCACTACCTCTCTGTACATACTTATTATAAGAAAAAAAAAATAATAAAAGATTTAAAAACTCGAAATGTCAAAGTTTACGCATCGCTTAGAATATTACCATAAAATAATTTTTTTATCTTTATGCTTTATCCTTTCAATTTGGCCATTCATTCCAGAATACACGCACACAAGCATATCGTTGACACATAACATACGTGTGTGTTAACCAATCATTTTTTATTTAACCGAGTGAAAACGTAAAATTATTCGTTTCTCTAAACTCTAAAGTGTAAAATGTTCACAGAAATCCAATTGCATTAAGAAACGGTATAAACTTTGATCAGTACATTATTATTTATTATATTTGTAAAACGTTTATTTTTAATATTTATTTTCTCCGTACCTAATCCTTTATTTTTTACATAAATTTTGATTACGCTGAACTTGGTAACTCGGTTCGCAAATAACAGCTAGCAATGTTGTTCGCAATATCAACGTAAAAACATTTTCAGTTGGACAAAAATATATGCCTGTGTATGGTTTTTATACCATAAATCAGTTCGTATTGTTGTGTTTAATAAATGTGCCTACATGGAATATGGAAATATTATAATACACTTTACAAGGAACTTTG